GTCAGTCAGTCAGTCAGTCAGTCAGTCAGTCAGTCAGTCAGTCAGTCAGTCAGTCACGTGCGTATGATCGTCGCGAGAAGAGAACTCGAATCTGGAGGAGAGTCCGTTGTGACCTTGTCTCAGATCATTGCCGCACTTCTCCGGGATCATCGGCTGATCCGCTGAGCAAGACGTAACTGTTTCGCCTTTCTTCCGGCAGATATTTTCGGAAAGTTCCAAAGCGATGGCAGCTGTGACTTCTCAATCCGTAGAAGCAGGGAATGCATACCGAACTGGAAACCTAAATCCTTTTCTGTCGAGATTCGCGAAAACAGCCATTTGTGTCAGAAAGCCCAATTCAAAAGTTGATACTGTGACCCATGTCGCATGAATATAGGTAAGCAAGTTATGAAAATTGGCATTAACGCAGACAGATTCGTCTTTAAGCTCTACTCTTCCTTAGTTCATTAGTCACAGCGGTTCGCCAGTCGATCTGTTCCTCCCGCTTAAAGTCACCGGTATGTATGTATGTATATATGGTACCGAGGTACGTGACCTTTTTCGCTGATTCCAGGTCAGCCTCGTTTATATCAGGAGCACAGAGAGCATGCGGTATTTTGCATGTTGACACGCTTTCTGGCCACGTAGAACTCACCTGCGAATTTTTCCATGGCGCGCCGAAAGCCTATTTGGAAGGATGCCGACAAACAAAGACGTCTGCACTCAGAATATATCTGGTCTCCTCATCTCCTATGTCCATACACTCGTCAAGAGACGGGACAGAATGCACCGCTTTGACGCGACATCTATCAACGTATGATGACGTGTAATATGCAGCAGGCCATAGACCCCATGCTTATGATGGCACATCCCTAGCTCGTTCCATCTTATTAGTTCGTAAATGTTCTCCATGTTTTCAATAGACATGTAAACCGCAAGAGCGATTTCTCAACGATTTTGTGTAGGGCAAAGATCTTGTCAGAAACGCCTCAGTCTGACCTAAAGCCACATCTGTCTGTCTTAGATCTTGAAGTCAAAAGCTCTAGACGTTTCCTGGAATGACCAATAGCCAGAAAATTTGAGCACTTTGTAGCACTTTGCAAACTTAATTAGACAAAGGTTTTCAGTCCATCATGATTTTTCAGTTTGGAGGATATTATTATTTTCTCTTGGAATAAGGGTCTCTTTATTGTCGTTTAATGTCTCTTTGGTCACCGATGGTGTGGACTTCTTGCAATATATCCCGTCCATTGCCACTTCAACTTCTTCACTTATGAATTGCCCATTCGCTCGTTTTCTTAGTTCTTCATGAGGTTCTCAACTTACATCTTTCCAATGCGTGTTGCCATAGTCTATGGCTTGTGAACAGCTGTCGTACTCGAAATGCAATTTATCATTGATAAATCAGCAGTAGCATACATTGGCTGTTACATTTGTATTTCAAGCGAAATGGAAGTTTCCCAGATAAAAGCATTTTCAATCTTTCCATTTCTGGAAGTGCTCTATGTCTCTTTAACTTTTGTGTCGGTTGCAGAGATGAACTGCCCCAGATGAATGTGATTTTGTACCGTCTTATGCCTCATAAACCGCATAACAAGGCTACTGGCGCTAAAATTCAATTAGTTTCTTCTTCCGCAAGGCTGATATCATTTTTAACTTGTTCCAAGGAATAAAAACACACTCGACACAACTCAGAATAAATCCAAGCGCGCAAAACCAATCAGCAAAATCTTCACATCGCTGCTACATTCTTTGGATGTCTCGTGACTTCCAACAAATGCAACGATGATACTTTCATTCTCATATTTCAAGCAGCATCAGGCGGTTCGACTCGGTGTACAGGAAAAAGAGTAGGATTTTTGAACATCTAATTGTATCCAAATTCGGATTAAACTAATCCACAACACACGGTTCCGCAAGCAGTAACTTCATTGCGCTCATTTAAAAATGGTTTTTAGCAGCGGAGTATGCGAAAACGAATCTTCATTATAAAGTGTACATTAACTTATTCACAAATTTTATCACTAACCTCAAGGAGAATTTTTCTTTGTGTCATCGCCCTTTTGTTAGGAGCCATGCAGTGGTTAGATGTAAAAGAAGTGATGGTTGACATTGCAATGCAGGTTAGCACTCGTTAAAAAAATTGCGCCACACTTGCAATCTAAGAAGTAGAAGTGATGAACAGTCAATATTGCCCAAAAGCAGTAGTTGCTTCCGTCCAAAGAGTAGATTACGGTTTTTTAAATGACAGTCAATCACTTCTCCAGGTTCATTTTTGTCATCTGTTCATGAATGCAGTGTTTCTGCCTAAAATTAACCCAATAACATTCTGAATCTGTCACTTTCTGCCGTTCCTCAGACGTACGGCAGAGCACTTTTCACAACCACATGATATTTTTACTCTGCTCACTTTCTACGTGACTGATATGCAGTTCATCCATTCTCAGATCTCTTCCAGCGTCTCAGGTTTCCTTACCGATCTCATATTGGAAGTTGGATTTTGAATCTCTGACATGAAACCAAACGGTTGATTTGGCAGAGGCTCCATGGATGAAACCTGAAAATTGCTTAATGGTGGTGGCATTTAAAATAAGTCTTGAGGGTGGTACGTAGTCGCTAAGAAGATGCCTATCCACCGTACAGATGATATTCAAATGGATATGTACATCATTTTTGTTCATGCAGTTAAAGTACTGATGCAATAATAGTGCGAACTCTGTAGCATTGATGAGGTGATACAACGTAATCAAAACAAGATCATCTTTATAATTTTTAAAATGAAAGGGTTATTGGTCGATTTCGGTTTGCAGTAGAAATCTGCATGACAGGACAATAAAACTCTATCTTTCCAGGTTTTCCGGTTTCATTGTGAAGGCCCTTTTAATCTGTTCACGAAACCTAACAGAAAATCTCACTGTACTTCTGTCCACCTCATTGTTTTCACACTTAAGAGGTACATAGTAAGATATAGGTGATCATCCGTGAGTCTTGACCAAACACAGATGACTGCGGTTTCTCTAAGAAACAAATTTTACGGAAAGAGGCTACTGTAGCTAGTCTTGAGGGCGAGGGTTGAAGAGCTCATGAAAAAATTAATGCGCTCTCTTTGCTGCGACAGAAACAGCCGTTTTCTTTCAGCAGATCAATTATAAGCACTGGCTTGTTCGATGAAAGGATCAGTAGCGGTTGCACTTACATGAACATCGCGTTCGGCGGATTATGAATATTTAACCGATCCATTCATCGCGCCTCTGTCTGCCAAGCGGCCGACCAGGACTGCGATGCAGAGGCGAAAAGTATATAATTACGGACGTGAAATTTTGAGAAACAATCGCGTCATGTCTCAGCACGGCAAGGCGCCGCGACGCGACGCGACACGTCGCGGCAAGCGGTCACACTTCCCACAATTGATCGGGCACGCACCTTCAGCGTCCTGTGATGAAGTGCAGGCGTATTTTGAAAATTTAATGCAGTCGGCACTCATTGGCGAAAACAACTAGCGAAAAGAAGTTGAGGTAATCCTCGGCACTCGACATTGAGTAGGTAATCAAACGGCAATTATGAGAAATATTTTTGGCAAACAGATCAATTAGTGATGAACCGCGCCCCTAGCGTTATTACCCGCAACTTACACTCATATAGTTAGGTTAATTGTGGCTCATTTATCGGTGCAATCAACATCTTCTGAAATTGTAAACATTTCAGCGTATTCACACCGGCGAGAAACCGTTCGAATGCGAGCAGTGTGGTCGAGCGTTCAGGCAGCCGGGGAATCTAACGCGTCATCGATTGACGCATACTACAGTAAGAAAGCGTTGTACGGTGAAATCTCTTTCAAGAAGCAGTGGCAATCAAATTTTTCGGTGACGTTACACAGTTCTTTGTTCAAAAACATGTTTTAGAAATTTATCCAGATATATTCACTGGCATATGGATCATTTTTACAGGCTTTGAAGCATGTAGTTCGATTATTTGGCACAGGCAATGAGATGACATTTAGAAACGTGTTCTAGCGCTGTCATAATGGTGCATTTGTTGGTAATGCTACTGTCCCAGAGAACATTCTGACCAAATATGCAAATCAGCTTTGAACAATAAAGTTAGATTAACACTGCAACATCTGTGTAAACACGGTTACAAAAAGAGCAAACCCACCTCAAATAGTAATGTACAAAATAAGCAATATGAATACAGTAATCTTCGAGCAAAGTGAATCTGGACTATCTGCTTTCGTAGTGAAATTGTCGTTAAAAAGTGATTATAAACAACTAATGTGTATTTTGGGTGTATAATGCCAGTCCTTAAAATTCTACCGGGACTTCTTTGCCGCATTACACAGGTTGGAATAGACAATTGACCACCCAGTCAAGGAAGCACTCAGTTACTCAGTCAGTTTCATTGATCGTCTATTCTCTCAGGTCGCGGAGGCAGACACATCAGACAGCGCCGCGTCACTTTTTATTCCCATGTCAGCGTCCTACCTTCGGCAGTAGATACCATGAATCTGGAACAGAGTTTGCCAAGAATCTTTTTTCAGGTCATTCTTAGCGGAGCCTGGGATCTTCGGTTGATTCGATTCGCGAGCACTAGCTTTTCCTTTTCCTTTCTGAAGCGTTCATAAAACGCCCTCAAACCATTGTAACTGTGACTTCTCAGGTCTGCCAGCGGCAGCGGCGGCTGTATGCCAATGCACTCTAGGATATCCTATCTGGGTCAAGTCGAGAGGCGTAAGTCCAGCCATTCCTCTCATAAAGCCTATTTCAATCGTTTGTACCTAGTTTTACAGTTATTTCACACAACTCATGGTCAGAGGTAAGCATGGAGGGATGATGATCTGCCTCAACGCGGACAGCTTAATCTTCAGGCTCAGGTCTGCCTTAGTCACAACCGTTCCGGCTAGTTGAAACAGAACGCTACTGAGCACTGCGATTTGCAGGTCGATCTATCGCTCTCACTGTCCATCACCAGCAAACATGACCTGGAGGTGCTTGAACTTCTCTACCTGTTCCATTGCCTCTCCGTTAATCTGAAGAGTGTAACGGGCAGGAGAACGAGGAAGCACTAGGCTTTTCGTTTTAGATGCGTTCACACGCATGCCGCTCACGTCGCATTTGGCTGCGAACCTTTCCAGGGAGCAATGAAGATCAGTTTCAAAATATACTAATAAAAAGCAAGGTCGACTGCAAACAGAAGTCTTCTCGACTTTACATCCTTTACACCGATACCCTCATCGCCTTGGCAGCTTCTGACTATTCTATCCATGTAGAAACACAAATAGGATAGGGGACAGGACGCAGCCTCGGCGGAGACCAGTGCGAACGTTGAATCGTTTCGACTTAACGCCATTTACTCTGACGCAGTACCTGCTATCAAAATGCAGTGACCGAACTGGTCATCGATCCCACACGTTTGCAAGCGTGATCACAGTTTGTTGCGTGAAATACGGTCAAACACCTTCTCCAGGTCAACAAAGCACACGTAGGCAGGATGAACGTGTATTTACGATTTTTTTTAACAATCTGGCGTAAGGCGAATATCTGATCAGAGGTGCATTGACTTGATTCGAAGCCAAACTGCTCCTCTTGTATCTTAGAGTCAGTTATTCCGCAGGACCTCATTTCTAAGCAGGTTGCATAGATTTTTCCCGAGAAGCTTAATACTGTTGTCCCGATAGTTACTGCAATCTCTATGGCATCACTTTTTTAAAAGGAGTACTATGCCTGCCGCTCTTCAGTCCATTTTTGCCTTGCCCGCATCCACTGCAGTTTCGCAGACATCTGCTAACCACATCGTGCCTTGTTCATCTAAAGATTTAAGTATTTTGGGCAAATTTAATCGATTCTAGCAGTCTTGCCACTTACTAGTTTCTACAGATTCTGCCATTTCAGCGACCGAACGACTACTATCCGTTGTCTGATGCTCACTAGGCGAGTTTTCCCGCGGGTGCTCACATTTAAGGAGTTCCTCAACATACTCTCTCCAACGTTTGAGTACTGCATTTTCCCTTTGCAAGAAGACGTCAAGATTGCCGTTCTTTCCGTCTCGAAGCAGCAGATAATCTGCCATAATGCTTTGCTTACCGTCTTGAAATTCGACTCTAGCACTTCACCGGACGTTTTCCAGCAATCGGTTTTCGCTCTGGTCTGCCTTTGTTGCCTCTATGCGCGCACCTTTTTACTGTACATGAGCTAAAGGCTCCTTGCATCCAGTCCACATCTTGAATAGATCCTTCTTTTTGATGTCAGCCAGTTCAACCACTGCTGACCAGGGAGTTAGTTTGTGACTCTTACACGCATGCGAACGAGTTTCAAACTTCAGCACTTGGCGGCAGCCCTGAATAAGTCGCTCTAAAGAACTTCTCGATTTCTACGGCAGCTGACATCATTTGGATCTGTTCAGACCTCGTGCGATGTTGTTTGCAGTCGTGTTTCGCCGTCGTATCTGCAGAAGGAAATGCTTTCCATCTGATGTTTTGGTTACTTCTGTCGCCAGGTCATTGAATTATACTTCATTGTTTGCAGCCAAGGGCAGCAATCAGCTGACAGCTCTACGTTACTCTTAACGCCAATATCCATTACACAGCATTGTAATCAGACAATATGATTATCAAATCGATCAGTGCACAAGATTCACTGTACCAGGTATACTGATGCACGCTTCTGTGCTCGAAGAAGGTGTCCGTAATGGACAGTCCGTTAAGGCTGAGGTCGCTAAGGCCGTACTTTCCAATCACGCCTTTCCAGTTTTCAGCGCCTTCTTCGCCGTGCGAATTGAGATCGCCAATAAAAATAATGGACACTGCAATCGGTACTTAATAGAGAGCATCTTCAGCCTCGTCCATGAAGGACTCACGTCATCTCTCCAAATTTGGCGCACACACCTGTAGCAAGGTCAAAGATTTCTGTCAGAAGACTGCCACTCTTCTGCTCAGAGTT